AATGATGAGAAAAAACGCTTGTGTGTGATTTAGCACCAGGGAATTCCCAGGGTTTTCCCCAGGAATGTGAAAGTAGTCAGTGTTCACGTCATTTCAAGAATGCAGTCACGTGAAAAACGTCATGTGACCCACCGCTCGTCCTATGGAAAAGCGGTATATATCATGTAAACTTCACATTACAAAATTAGTTACTGTTATAACTAAATGAAACACAAACCATTATCCGATAGAGGTAACTGTGCATAGCGGAGGGATATGTTATCTCAATAAACTTGGTAACGTGGTTTGGGTTGATTTCTTGGCGCGGGTCCGAATCCAATTAACATGTTACATATCCTAAAACTGACTAATCAGCAAATCTCGCTGCACTGCGCGCGACAGATTCAAGAGCAAGGCATGCCAGAAATACGAAACATTAAGTTATGCTTCCGAAAGGAAGCCTTGGGCATTTGTCAACTCAATTCAAAATCTAAGCTTTATAGTGGTATGATTCGTTAAAGAAATTTTGTAATTAACATGGATATTATATGAATGGTGGTCGTTGAAAATCTATCATCTAATAAATGCGCACGTCATCATCCTTATGATAACAGAATGCGAAGTCGATCTCCATATACAGATTACAACAATGCATGTGCTCTGCAAATCGCATCTAGCGTCGAAGAATCGGTGAAGCCTCAATCAGGTACTGACAAATAAGGGTGTGGCCATTCCCAACATTTCAGCCAACTGTATGACTTATATTTGACCTTGTTGTTTTTATCCCCCGGCATATAATGCGGGGGATATAGCGATCAGCCAGTCTGTCTGTCCGTCCGTCTGTCTGTCTGTCCGTCTGTCCGTCCGTAACCATTTCCTTTTCCGGGGCAAAATTCGAACCCCATTCAGTGTATTTGATTGAAACTTGGCAAATCTATCAGGCACATACTGAAGTAGTGCCTTTTGATATTTGGGGATTTTTCTAATTTATATTTTTTAAAATTTTTATGGAATGAAGTTGGACCTAGACTCAATTGGGGATGGGGTTCGTTTCGGGGCAGAATTCGAAAACCATTCAGTGTATTTGATCGAAACTTGGCAAATCTATCAGGCACATACTGAAGTGGTGCCTTTTGATATATTTTTTTACGAATTTTTATTTTTTACAATTTTTATGGAAAGAAGTTGGACCTAGACTCCATTGGGGAACGGGTTAATTTCCGGGCCAGGATTCGAAAACCATTCAGTGGGTAAACAATGTATGCTTCTTAAAGAACATTCAACTGTTGACTCATTACATACAGAATTGCACATTTACTAGTTGTTACTTTTCAGACAGCTGCCGGGCACAGTATAACGTCATCAGTTTAATAAAAATTTGGATTGATGATTTTGACCATTTTCTTTATGTTTTTGGATATACAATTTACACTTGGTTCTAGGATATCAACAAATTGAGGGCTTTATGGTGGCGTAATGGTGTGTATAAATCATTATTTGAATAAACCTTGATGAAGTTAAGAAAAATATGAGATTATTAAATACTACTACTATGATATTATTGATAAATTAGTAGGATGATAAGGATGTCTTTTTAGCATTTATTTACGTTAATCCTATAGGATCTACATGGTATCATACCAAATCTTGCAAATATGGAATTACGTTTTTGTTGCCAGTTCTGATAAATATTGGTGATGTTTATATCATGATGAGGGGTTTCATGAACGCCAGAACAAGTGCAAAGGATGATAGCATTGAATATAGTGCATGAAAAGTTTGTTCGTCTTTATTAACCAGAAGCATCGTTTGTATGATAAAATCATCTACAAATATGTCATATCTTACTTGAGATAGATGCAACACTAAGCTGGTTTATTATGAACGGTCGCAGTGTTTCAGTGTTTTCCTCAGGCAAAAGCGTGATTGACTGTATAATTTTTTCCTCTGTATTTTTCCCAATATGTCTAGTTTTGACATTCTTTTGAGGTCGTACTCAGAGCATTGTCCATTATCATGAACATTCATTTGATTCAGGTCGCTTCCCCATCCAACATGTGCAACCACGCACACCACATGTCCAAAACGAGTATTTCCGTTATGTGTTGAATGTAAGTCATGAAGACAATTTACTTTTAGGTAGTGTCATATGAATGGTTGTTTGACCATTGTTGATGGTGCTATACAAGCATTTATTGGTGTTTTGTGTGAAGCCACTGATCGTATGACAAAAGAAAGTAAAGTTAATGAAGCATAATGTCAATGGTTTGATAGTGAGTGTAATATCTTTCGTTTTTTGTGAAATATACTTCTTTCAGTTCTAAGAACAACTGGATCTGATTTAAGCCTCGAATATTACCTAGTTACCTTGAGAAAAAAATAATATATAAGGACAAGGTGATTAACAAGTTAATTAATCATGTACACGACAGTGACGATTTTTTGTTCACATTTGATAGAGAATGATGTTAAGCTCTCAACACATCATCAAATATATAAATCCACCAGTCGTTTTGTTATTTTGGTAATATGTGTAAAGGGAGTAAGTAGTATTGATTGAAATCACTTGAAGGACAGAATGATAATGACCATAGTTGTGATACTGATGGTCTTACTGAAGCTATTCTAGATTCTCCTATTTCACTTGATTTCAAAGTGAGTAAGGCTTTAGATAAGTTCGAGGTTTGCAGACACTGATAAGGTTTTTAGTTGATTATTTTTTAAACAGTCAAAGGATCGTCTATTAGCTTATAGTACCATTGTGTTAAGGGCACTTTTATTCAAGGTATTATTTTTCTAGTTTTTCTAATGGTGATGTTTCCGAATATACGTTGAATATATTTGCAATGTTATTGCAATGTGTACAAAAGTTCTGTAAAGTTAAATGTGAATTGTATGATCATTTGAAGTTGAAAGTCATATGTGATTATATTACCCATATTATGCAGTAGACTATACAGCTAATTTTAATTCCATAGTGGCTGCAGCAAACTTCAAATACACAAAATGTTTGTAAAAAGTTCTTTGTATCAAAGGGGATATTAAACTGCACCTGTAAATGTTAGATATGTTTAATATACTATGGGTCAGATGGCCTTGAATTCTGAATGAACTGAATCTAAACCTGAATCTGAAAAATGGTGATTTCATGGTCTCACATGAAATGTTTAGGTTATTTAGACTGATAAAAAAATAATGGTGTTGAATTGTTTAACCCGGTCACTGGGAATTATGCCTAACTACCTCTGATGTTCTTTGGAAGTATACAACAAACAATAAACAAGAATAAGAAACTAATGGAACACATTGAGTGGTTATGGTCGGCTTGGCTGCTCTTTCGGTTGCTGCACTCATTGAATGGCCTAACAGGGAGTCAACTGTACTATGTCAGAAAAATAGTTGGTGAGCTACTGCTCGTAATCTGTTCAGTATCCGTAACAATTGATCTATTAATGTTGTTTATTTTGGTGGACTACATAAACCTCACCAGGACTACCTCATGTGGTATACCTTTTAGTCTGACAGACTACTGTTGTTATATTCCGGTACCCTTAAATGTTGTTCACACTTTTAAGCATTGACTATCCATATTTGTACATTTTGAAAACTGTCCCAACGCTCACCTCAAATTCATTAAAGGCTAGGTATGTTTATGTCCCAAACGTCCCATAGAAATAGATGCACTGTATGGATTTTCTTTAGAAAGTCCAACATTTAAATGACCTTTATATTATTTTTGAGAGTCTGCTGACCGTTCATTGTTATTGTGATATCGACCTAATTTTCTCAGTCCTTTTTTGGATTTTGTACATATTGTGTAGTTAATATAATAAGGACACCTACAGATCCTATCTTATTATTATGATGACTATTTAATTTTAAAGAAACCTGAATTTTATTTAGGAAAAGAGACAGTAAATGTTCCAGTACGGAAAAAAGTAGTAGTTAACATGTAGTAGTTTAGTAGTACACATAAATTGTAATCCAACGTTACAAGTTATTCTTCCCTGTTTTCGTCATGTGACTTGAAACTAAACTGTACTGCTAATATAACATTATCAGGTTGGAAAATCTCGATGTGCTTTTGTGTAAGCGGAAACAATTGAGAACGACGGAAAAGCGTCTAATGTTTAAATAGTTAAATTTGGCACAATCATATTAACATGGGGAGTGTGTGAGTTGGTACCTACGCTGGTTAGAACAGTATTTATTTACACCACTGTGTGTCAAAAGTGAACCTGGTCATAAACGTCATATTACATTTTTCAAACTAGAGTTGATCGATCATGGCTTATATTGAGTTCAAATCTTGGATTCAAATTCATGATCAGCAGATCCTAGGACAACTAAGAGATCCAACTCTGAACAACGACTACAGGTGTCACTGCTACCTACATAGAGTTGTTCATTTTGGCCATTAACTGATAAATTGGTATCATTTACTGTTTATCCGCCAGGTACTTTGACTGATTTTTATTTTTTGACAGACATACATTTTCTTCATATGAGAGGTCATAGTCCCATAATACATGAACCGTGCAGGTACTACATCTGTATATGTTTATGGTCACAGATGGACAGACAGGCAGACAGACAGAAACTGTTGTTACTCAGTGTTACTCAAATATAGGCAATTGTGATATAGCAATATCTTCAGAGGTGATGGTATAAGTAGCGCATTTCACAGAGTTTGCTTTGAGATATGTGTGCAAGTTGGACAGTTTATCTGTCACACATAAGTATGATGTATAATTCATCCTCAAAAAAGTTATTTCTTTTTAGTGAGATAAGGACAAAACCTTTCTTACACTTTGAGTAACATATTCTTTATTATCTTAATTATGCTGAATTTGGCAGAGGAAAATATCTTTCCACATATAAAGTGATTTTGTTACGATTTGGACCAAAGTTTTCACCTTTTACCCATTCGCACACGACAGTTTTTGATTTCACTGATTTCTTGATCAGAAGATGCATGATAAACAAGCACATGTACACACGCCTTATTGTTTCTACTACAGGATGCGGTGAGCGCTACACGGGTTCGTCTGGCTTTTTCTCCTCACCAAACTACCCTGGCAATTACAACAACGGCCTGTACTGTACCTACATCATTGATGCAGGAGAGACATTGGTCTCTCTCGTGTTTGAAGATTTCAATACGGAAGTAGGGTATGATGTTGTCAAGGTATGTAAACATTGTGTTCTTTGTGAAACAATTAGAACCAATATTGAATGAAGCATGCAAGTAAATGTACCAGATTAAAGAATATTTTAGAAGATACTTTTACAAGCAGAAAACAGGAAGAATTTTGAAGGGCTCACGATTACACAATCACTATGGCAAACATTATGGCAGCAAACAGTCACTGAACATCCATACGCATTTTTTATACTCAACCATCTATATCACAAATACCATGATTTTAGTTATTTCCATACATAATAATATGTCGTTGATGACATAATTTGTCAGGCCAAGTTCCTTCACAATTTCATGAATATTGTTGTCTTTCAGTATTATTCCTACTAAATACTTGTGTTGCTGTCCAAAATCACTCTTGTCCGACAAACTTTACATGCAGCGATAATACGACGTACCCATGGGTACGTACACAACTAAACTATATAATTTGTCTTAAATCGTGAAATGTAAAAATCAGGAAAAACACTAATAATCCCGACTGCAAAACCGGAAAGAACTGAACATGAACGATCACCTGAAAACATCGCTCACGTTGAACGTTACCAATAAAGGTGAGGGCTGCACTGGTTAACCATCTTTAAGTGTTAAAGAATCACGTACTGCTTGCAAGTGTGCCACATGCGCTGTGGGTTTAAGTTTTGGAAGGGCTTGGCCAGTGGGCCTTAAGGGTAGATTAATTGGCAAAAAATCTTCCATTGCATGTGTAAACATTTGTTCAAATGTTGTGATTGTAGATGTGTTTACTGGTGCTGTGTGGATGGGTACATTATGTGATTATGTTGTTATCAATCTGAGTGTGTATAACTTTTGGTTATTTAGAACAATAACTGCTACTGTAAAAACAAAGGTAAAATTGACATGTTTCCAATAACTTAGTCTTCAGTAGTTACACACATGGCATACATTATAATGTTAATATTTAATTCAAACATTCTATTTTGATTTTTGATCATTATAGTAATCACACATGTAAGAGTCATGCTCATTATCTCTGTAGGAGTGTTTGTCAATCCAAATTTGCCTACAATTAGTTTTTAGGCAAATTGGGATGTCGTCAAAATTGGACTCAACCCTTCATTTATAAATTGCAGGTTTATGATGCCTCCAACAACCTCCTTGTCCAGCTAAGTGGAAACAGACGGGGCTACATTGTCCAGGCAGCTGCCTACTACCGGGTTGTCTTTACTACGGATGGTCGGGATGTTAAGGAAGGATTTAAGGCCGTGTGGACAGGTATGTAGACATGTACTCCTTTGTTTTTTTGTTTACTTCGTACTTGTCTCCTTTCACTTCTTTTCACTACTACCTTATTTTTGACATTTGGTTGTCGTTGTCACAGTTGCCTATGTACACATTGTTTGTAAAAACATGTTGTGCATTGTGCTCTTTCAAAACGTCTGCGGCTCATGCAAATTGACATGGGTAATCTTACGTTGCAAGGTATCTTCAGCATACTCGCTTTATTGTCTATGGCCAAGAGATGATCGGAACATAAGTTTGCGAAATCAAGCCTGGAAAAAGTGGAATCCTTTCAGTGTTTGCATGCAAATGCGTACTGTCTGGTGTATCTTTTTGGTACATACTTATATCAGAGCGGACTGCTGAAGTGTGAAGACATATGCAACCCGACTTTCTAAAAACTATTTACTTCTACAACAAATGCTATTTTGGGTTGCGTTTTCTCAGTACAGTACACATTTGAGTACTTTTGGGGTTGAGCCCCATCCAGGTTTTGAACCCACACTCTCAGAATGAGGCACCTTATTGCTAGCGCATAAAAGTCAGCAATCTAGCCCACTCAACCACCGAGAATTCCACTTGAAATGGAAGTCCGACACCTGGTAGTCTAGATCACATACTTTGTGTACCCCTCAGACGCCGCACTCAGCAATATTCCAGCTACATGACGGCGGTCTGTAAAAATTCGAGTCTGAGCCAGACAATCCAGTGATTGATATCATGAGCATCGATCCACGCAATAGGGAACGATGACATGCATCAACCAAGTCAGCGAGCCTGACCACCCGATCCCGTTTGTCGCCTTTTACGACAAGCATAGTCACCTTTTACGGCAAGCATGGGTTGCTGAAGACCTATTCTAACCCGGAAACGTCACGGGTTAATCAGAGAGAGAATTTAGGAATGTCAACTTCTATCATATGAGATTTAGGAATGTCAACTTCTTTCATATGAGGAACAAACCATTTCGGAGTATTTGCCTACTCATTTATCACGTGAATGAATGATAGGATGAGAGAGCATATGTATATATATATATATTGCATGTTGTTGATTTTTGAGATGCAATATGTGGCAGTTGTTCACTTGATTGTCATAGGATGCCCAGCTTTGGCACAAACACAGTATCTTAAGCAAAATTATGGAGTGGCTCGATCACTTTTTTATTGTAGTTTGGACACAGAGGTCCATGCATGGTAGGACCCAGATTATGTACTGAACAACTAAAGTTCCTCTGACATTGAATAAGATTTAATGCAAAGTTATGTTTTTTACCAAATCTGAAACAATTTCGGTTTGCAACAGATAAAGATTCCCTGTAAAAATTCAAATGGTTTACTTTGCCATACTGACTTCAGAAAATGCAACACATCTTCGTCTCATGGAATGGACCAGGCGTCGCACAAAGTCCTGTGGGATATCTGTCCATATCTGCTGGAGCATGTTTCGAGGTTCCTGAAGTGTCTGTGGAACACGTTGTTGACGTCGAAAACGCCGATCCATCTCATCCCACATGTGCTCGATTGGTGAGAGATCAGGGGAGCGAGCCAGCCAGGAGATGACATTCACGTTGTTTTGTTGAAGAGAATCCTGAACAAGTCGAGCAATATGAGGCCGGGCGTTGTCATGTTGAAAGGTAATGCCTGGGCTATGACAACGCAAAAACGGTAGAACAACAGGGCCTATGATCTCGTCGCGGTAGAGCTGTCCATTGAGATTCCCCTCTTCCACTATCAAACGGGTCGAACCGATCTTCTTCCATGACACAATGATTGACGTAACGTTCACCTCGACGTCGGTACACTCGAATCCGTCCATCACTGTGGCTGAGGTGAAAATGAGACCCGTCAGTGAATAGAACTTGTCCCCATAGCATGGCCGTCCAGCGTAGATGCTGTCTGCACCACTGTAGACGTGCTTGACGGTGGTTTCTTGTCAATATGGGACGTCTGGCGGGTCTTCTGGCGAAAATCCCTGCACATCTGAGGCGGCGACGTACGGTTTGTGAAGATATTCGTCGAAGGCCAGGGATGCTGCAGTCACTGTTGCTGGCTGGAATCGATTTCGTTGGTGTGTTGTTCGAATCCAGTTGTCTTGTCGATTATTGGTTACGCGTGGCCTGCCACTCCGAGGATGGTCTCTGACTGCATTCGTCTGTTGCCAATCTTGCCATAAACACGAATTGTGTTTCTGTTGACGTTCAAGTGGCTTGCAACATCACGTTGACTCGATCCTGATTCAAGCATACCAATGGCTCGCAGACGCTCATTTTCGGACAGGCGTGGCATTTTGTAATTTTTTTTCTGTTTTTCTGAGTGATTGTTGCATATGGAATCCCGTTAACTCACATGTTTTATACCCATCCTTGGGTAGTGAAATGCATGGGGCTTGCATAAAAGTCAACTTTTGCATGGAATGCATGCTTTTCTGTAGCAGTTACGTTTTTGTGACTTGACTCCGTGCATGTACCACAATATTAAAAACCAAACTTTACTTGTTTGTGAAATATACTAAAATATTGGTGTCACAGGAACTTTTTTTGTGGAGCATATATTTGGCGTCATGGAAAATGACAAATTAAAAATTCCTTTGAATAGGCTCGTATACAGCCTCTGACTTTCAAGGACATTTAACCTGATCTTGTCCTGTTTGATAAAACCAATGAAATCACATGTCCCTTTAGACACTAATGTGCTCGACAAGATTCAGGAAAAAACATGGCAAATATTACAAATGTCACGCTCACGATATTGACAGGTAAGTGATTGAGGCATCTGGTACTTATTATGGTCTAATGCACTTAGCGGATTAGAAGGGTGACTGCACTGACGGTAACATCTGTATTAAAGTCACTTTGAAGTGTTGAAATTGGTTTGTGCTGAGCTTGGCTTGGTTTGTACGGTATGCGGCTATGTGATTCGTAACATCCTCTGGTGCATATAGCAGACTAGCCAAAGATGTGGATTGCACAGGCCTGGGAGTTAAAAGCTTTATCATAATCAATATCATAAGTGTTGAATTTGTTTTGTGCTGAGCTGTCGGTTTTAAGATTGAATATGTACAGTATATACACATGAATAATGGCAGTGGATTTTGTTTATTATTACTAAACTGACGTCCAAAAGAAACTTTACAAGAGTTTGAAATCACTCTTGCTCAAAAACAACAAAACATACATGCATGAAGTAAAGTGTATTGAGAAGATCAATATATAAACATAATCAACACTGAAAATGACAATCATACCACGACCGAGAATGACGTCAGAGCCCCCCAAAGTTGATTGTGGTACAAAACTCGAGCTTTCAGAATCATGGAAAATAGGCAGAGAACAGACACAATCACTCACGTTCAATAACAAGTCATTTTTATTAAAGGGTTTATGATCCCTAACCCCTTTAACTGATTTCTATCAAAGTTCGATACTCTGCAAGGTAACCTCATTTCCGTTACTATCCTTATACCATACCGACTGAAAGGATGACTCAGACGAAGCATATCAGACGAAGTCGTAGATGGTGGTGGGTTGTTATTATGGCCCATTAACAGAGTTTTAGAAATAAAATAATGGACATTTTGAAGCAGTATTACGGATGTGACAGTTGAACATACACCAGAACCATTTGATATTACAAACGACAGGAATTCCAAATGCAATGATGTTTTTGTGTGTTGAAAACAACCAGCCCGTCGGTTTTCCAAGTACCGTGTCAAGTCAAAAATATCCATGAAAAGTTTTTCGGATATGAAGTCAATACCTTTTCTGTAGCAGTTTAGCATATCCTGTAGTAAGACCATTGTTGATTGAAAACAGGGAACAAAGAACATTACACATACGACCTGTAGAGTATTTAATGTCAGCTAGGTAACGACCATTAGATCTTCTGGTGGACCTGACATAAGCTGACCAGGTGAGCTGTAAGTGCTATCTTTCAACATAATTCATGAATAAATCGTATTTGATTGTGAATAGTTTTCGCATGACGGATGACGCACGCCGTACAAAGACGGACGGCAATACGTGGCATAAGCCTTTCGAACACGTTGCATGTGTGGATAAAAATTAAGCTAACTAGACCTGTCCTATCGGGAATTAAATACTTCCCGCAGACATATGATAATGTTAACATGAATATTCAAACGTCCCCCTGCAATCATATTGGACGACATGATTGCAACCTCTGTTTTTTGAAGATTATACGAAATAGGGGTAGAGTACTGAAAGGAGAAATCAGATGCTTCCTTTCTATTGACACGGTAAAAACAAAACCTATGTGGTTGAGTTCGGAGATCCGTAACATGTCAATATACCATATTTGAACAAAATCGGACAATTACTAAATTTCGACAAATCAGAGGCCTCCGTTCCGATGCCATGGTACCACAATGGTAATGGAAATGAAGGCATGTCGTACAGTGTCCGTAGCTGCATCTACGTAAATATCTGATCGAAATCGATGTAGTAGTTTAGAAGTTGTTCAGACAAATTGAAACGACGAAGTAATAAAAGGCAACAACTCCGCCGAAATGAAGAAACAATTGCAATGTGCCCAACAACATGTTGAAGTGGACACTTATACAAACTTTAATTGAAATCAGTCAGTTAGTTTAGAAGGAATTATCCAGAAAGTTATATTCTGCAGAGAGACCGACAGACAGGCGGACACGCTGATTACATTTTACCCCCTAACTTCGTAGGGGGTACAAAACACTAATAATCTAATGAAATGATATTCATAAATAGATATTTACTCATTGAGATGTTTTAGACATTTAAATTACAAAATGCCGACTGTGAGACCAACTTGGATTTCTGAATGAGGTTATGTTACTGGATATTGTGCTGATCATTCACACCTAGTTTCATAAAGAGCACTTATTAGTATGGGAAAATAGTCCTCAATATGGTTCTAAACTACCTAAATTTGACCAAGCGGAGGATTCATTCCGTTGCTATTGTAATAAATTGTGCTTTGTGTGCAAACATATATCTAAATATTTTTTAACGAAGTCGAACAACTATATTTTGACCAATAAGATGCCTCGGTTACGTTGTCATGATGGTAAGAAAACCTATTCGGTTGAGTCATGACATTCTTTGTACTTAAACACCAAATTTGAACGAAATTTCTGAATATCAATCAATCAGCTCTGCAGATGCCACTTTCAGTTGCCATGGAATCAAGGTAGAAACGCAAATAAAGTCATATTGTATGGTGTCCTTTGACACAGTATTTGACAGCAGTGTATTAAACTTCAGAACATTAGGATATATGTAAATTTAAATTTAATGTTACTTTGCCAATGGCGGCTATAACATGGACACATTTACAAAAAGTGATACTCAAAGTTGGAGTATTTGTGTTCTTTCAGCATTGGCGATGACAGCAGTGTATTAAACTGCAGAACATT